ATACTTGATTGCACACTTTGAAACAAAGAAGTTTTTAATTTTGATAAAGTCAACTTTATTTATTTTTCCCATGTGGTTTCTTGTGCTTTAGTATCATATGACAGAAGCCTAATCCAAGGTTGTGAAGATCAAGGTTGCCATACACAATGAAGGGTAGCCGCCTTTAGGCCTATATTCAGAGTTCAGCCTTTATGAACTCTGATGCCTGGGCACATCCTGTTTTGTTTGTATAGGATTCATGCTTTTTTTAGAAGTTTATCCAAACCTTCCCCAAAGTCTGTGAGACATGACAGAATACAATGACTGTTACCTCTTGGTTGTGTCATAATAATAATTAGATACAACAAAAATCATTTACACTTCTAAGTAAGGATAATTTTCAATTTGGAAAAAAACTGGTTGAAATAGTTGCAGAAACTTCGATAGATATATTTTTTTAAAACCCTTTTATTTTTCTGTATTCTTTTTTTTTGGGAGGGGCGACCCAGGGATTGAACTCAGGAGCACACAACCACTGAGCCACATCCCCAGCTCTATTTTGTATTTTATTTAAAGACAGGATCTCACTGATTTGCTTAGCACCAAATGAAGTTGCTGGGGCTGGCTTTGAACTTGTGATCCTCCTGTCTCAGCCTCCTGAGCTGTTGGGATTACAGGCATGGGCCACTGTGCCCAGCTCTTTATTTATTTTAATTTAATCAATCTATCTATCTATCTATCTATCTATCTATCTATCTATCAGTTCCCATCAGTTATACATGACAGTAGGAAGCTCTTTGATTCATTGTACTCAAATGGAGCAAGTTTTCACTTCTTTGGGTTGTGCATGAAGTAGAGTCACATCATTTGTGCAATCATACATGTACCTAGAGCAGTAATGCCCATCATTCCACCGTCTTTCCTACCCCTTTGTCTCCTCCCGACCTCCCCTATGCACCATCCAAACTTCTTCCACTTATCCCATGTGCCCCTACCCCCATATGGATTAGCATCTACTTATCAGAGAAAATATTTGGTCTCTGATTTTTTTGAGATTGGCTTATTTCACTTAGCATAATATTCTCCAACTCTATTCTTACTTTGAGCTATAACTTAAATACTATCAAATTCAACCTTTTAAAGTGTACAATTTGGGGTTTGCCTATGTTCATTCACTAGGTTGTACAGCCATCACTGCCAATACCAGAACATTTTCATCATCTCACAAAGAAACCTGTTCCCCTTAACAGTCAGTCCCAATTCTCCCTCCCCAGCCCCTGGTGATTATCTCTTTCCCCATAGATTTGCCTATTCTGAATGTTGCATGTAAATGAAATCATGTAACACATGGTCATTTATGATTGCTTCTTTTACTTTGTATAATGTTTTCAAAGTTCACTCATGTGACACATACCAGGACTTTTAATGGCTGAACAGTATTCCATTACATGGTCACAGTTTGTCTTTCCATTCATCAGTTGATGGACATTTAGTTGTTTTCACTTGGGACTGTTAAGAGTAATACTGCTGTGAACACTTGTATATGGGTTTTTCTGGGGATATATGTTTTCAGTTCTCTTAGTTAAATACCTAGGAGTAGAACTGCCAGGACATATGGTAGCTTTTTTTTTTTTTTAATTTTTGAGGAACCATCCAACTGCTTTGCTGCCAAACTGCATCGTTTTATCTTCCACCAACAGTAACTAAGGTTGCAGTTTCTCTTTGTCCTTGCCAACACTGGTTTATGCCTGTCTTTTTGGTTATAGCAGTCCTACTGGATGTAAAGTGTTATTTCTGTTGATGTTGATCATCTTTTCTTCTTGCAAGAAATGTCTACTTAAGTCTCTTTCCCACTTAAATCTGGTTATTTGTCTTTATTATTCAGCTGTAAGTTTCTTTATATATTTTGGATACTAGACCAGACATATCGTAATATATAACATTTAACTCCCAGGCACTTAATTTGCCCATTCTGTCAGTTTTTCTTTTCTTTTTTGGTACAGGGGTTGAGCCCAGAGGTGTTCTACCACTGACCTGCATCCCCAGCCCTTTTTGTATTTTTAATTTGAGACAGGATCTTTTTTTTCCCTCTACATATTTTATTGGTGCATTGTAGTTGTACATATTGATGGGATTTATTGTTACATATTTGTACATGTACACAATATAACCATGTAATTTTTAAAAATTTTTTTAGTTGTAGCTGGACACAATACCTTTGTTTTATTTATTTATTTTTATGTGGTGCTGAGGATTGAACCCAGTGCCTCACGTGTGCTAGGCAAGTGCCCTACCGCTGAGCCACAACCCAGCCCAACAATATACTTTTTTTTTAATATTTATTTTTTAGTTTTAGGTGGAAACAATATCTTTATTTTATTTTTATGTGGTGCTGAGGATTGAACCCAGTGCCTCATGCATGCTAGGTGAGCATTCTACTACTGAGCCATAACCCCAGCCCCTCAACAATATACTTTTTGAGACAGGATCTTGCCAAGTTGTTGAGGCTGGCCTTAAACTTGTAGTCTTCCTACTTTAAACTCCCTAGTCACTGGGATTACAGACCTACAAGTCAGATTACACCTGACTTGTCAGTTGTCATTTTAATTTCATGATAATGTATTTTGGAGTACAGCAGTTTTTAATTTTGATGATGTCTAATTTAATTTTTTCCTTGTTGCTTGTGCTTTATGAGTCATATCTAAGAAACCATTGCCTAAATCAAGGTTTTAAAGATTTGCCTCGGTGTTTTATTTTGAGAGTTATATGGCTTAGTTTTTATATTTAGGTTTCTGATCCATTTTGAGTTAATTTTTGTATATGAACTGAGTTAAGTGCTCAATTTTATTCTTTTATCCAAGAAATTGGAAATTGAGTTGTCCAAGTCATATTTATTGGGGATAAAAAACAAACCAAAACAAAAAACAAAAACAAACAAACCTATTTTTTTCCCCACTAGTTATCTTGGCCACTTTTATTGAAAACTAGTTTGCTTAATTTTATTCCACTGGTCAACAGGCCTGCTCTTCCTCTCCTTCCCTTCCCTCTTTTTCAGTACTAGGTGTTGAACCCATAGCCTCTCACAAGCTAGGCAGGCAGTGTATGACTGGGCTATATCCCTAGTCCTTACATGTCTGTTGTTAATGCCAAGTACCACAGTCTCCATTAATAGAACCTTGTAATGACTTTTTCACTTGTTATTTTTGATTTGCACTAGAGATTCTTAATGATGTTCTCTAATGCTTTTAAAGTCATTGTGTGTGTGGAATTAAGGAATGGTAGCAATGTTGGGCTGTATTTTACCACATGCTAACCAACAAAAGCAGGGAATACACTGGGTTGTGCATTGTTAGGAAGGTTCACAGTGGTATTTTTTTTTTTTTTTCTAAGTTTCATTAGGGGAAATTGGTACCTCAGAAAAGTGAGGGGTAGGAAGCTTACCATATAGGTCTATGTGAAGTACCCGGGGATTTGGAGTTTGGGGGAAAGAGAGGTATTGGAAAGCTAAGAGTGCACGATGAGGCCCCTGGGTTTAATTGCAAAGATTTGTAAGTACTTTCAGAGCTTAAACTAAGTCACTCATTCTGAAATCATGGAGAAGTGGAGTCTGGAAACCTAGGTTGAATTTGTGGTTCCTGTGTTACTTGTTGGATGACTTTGGGCAAATCATTCAATTTACTCAATTTTGAACCATATTTACTCCCCTTCTGCTACATTTTTACATTCTACTTCATCAGCATTAATCTTAAAATATATCTTTCAAAACTGGTACAATACTTGAGCTATCTCCTATAGGCATAGAAGATTGTCTGTTCTTGACATACCTTCCAATTAAGCCATTTAAGAGCCGAGTGGTTAGAGTATTCTATTTTTGGTGTCCACATCATGTTTGATATATGCTTCTCTCCATTGTTGAGTACTATATTTTTTAATTTCATGTTCTCTTAAGATTTAATTAGCAGCGCAAACAGTTGACTTAGTTATGTATGTTGTTGTTAAAGGTTATATTGTCTTTGAGGTCATAGAAGTGTGCTGATGAGGGCTGAGAGTATGGTTTTGCAGCAAGCTAAGGGAAGCATTTCTGTAAAGGTCTAGAATAGTAAGAAGCATACCTTAGGGACCTAATTTTTCAATTTTCTAGGACAAAAAAACAAATTCTCTCCCATATGGTGTGTTTCCCTGTGTGAGCCTACCCTTTTTCTGATTTCTTGGTTTAGCCTTTTCTCCTACTCTTTCTTTTCTTTGTAGCACCTGCTTACAGTTTTAGCTTCTGCAGCTTCTTCCTCCAAGTCTTTTCAGCTTCTCCTTTCAGTGTTATCTCAATTTCTCAAACTGAGCTTCTGGATGATAGAATGATTAGTTAAGTACCTCTTTCCCACCAGTCATATCACTGGTTCACGGCCCCTCGATGGGTGAATGGTCTTGGGTCCCTGACCCACAAAGGATCTCCACAGGCCCTGGTGGGAGGCAGTGCGGTTTATTATGGCAATTTCTTTGGCAGTCACGAAAAATGATACACCCAGTATGAACTCATGAAATACACAAGAAGGTTGAATTCTGGTGTGGGTTGGTGGTACATGTTTTAGTGGGGAATGAAGGTTATTTTGATTTTGTACACAAATAGAGATTTTGTGGGCATTCAAATAGTGTAGAATTATTTTATCTGGCAGGTTGCATCACAGGTCAGCAGAATAGGTATGGAGTGAATTGAGCATTATCTGTTGGAAAGAGTTTTCAGCTCTCAACCACCATGCAATAACTAAGTAAAGAACTACAGGGAGAGAGGAGAAAGCAGATACAGCTCAATAGGAATTTGAACAATTACCTGCAGAGAGAAAAGAACAGCTCTGTAGAGAGAACCTGCATGTAGCCTGTTTGTATAACAACATGATGTTTTAAAAAGACAGGTAAATGAATCAATTTTTAAATCACTCTGGAATTTTGAGTAGAGTTTTGCTCTAATAATTTTGACTTACTGAATAACTTTTGCCATATTCCTCCCCCAAATCTCTTCCTCATAGGTAGAAGAAGAAATCCAGACTCTGTCTCAGGTGTTAGCAGCAAAAGAGAAGCATCTAGCAGAGATCAAGCGGAAACTTGGAATCAATTCACTACAGGAACTAAAACAGAACATTGCCAAAGGGTGGCAAGATGTGACGGCAACGTCTGCGTATGTTCCCTCAATACATTTTTCTAGACAACGTGAAGGACATTTCTGTACCTTTCCTTTGAGGAAGGGAAGAGAAAGGGGATGAGGACACTTGGATAGCTTTTATTTAAATCACACAGAGCACTTTCTTTCCATTTCTCTATTATAACTTTGGTTTTCTAACTGTTTTAGGGAATAGAAATAAAACCAGCCTCATATGCAAGTTGAAAAAAACAAAATTCAAATTCAAGAAGGCTATACAATAGTCCTCCTTTACCATAGTTGTTTCCTGAGGTTTCAGTTTCTTATAGTCAACTATACTCTGAGAATATTAAATGAAAAAATTCTAGAAATAAATAATTAATAAGTTTTAAATTGCATGCCCTTCTGAGTAGCATGATAAAATCTCTAGCAAAGGAAACAATTAGATGTAAGAGATAACTTACTGAATAGGAGAAAATCTTTGCTAGCTACTCTTCTGATAGGATTAATATCTAGAATATATAAAGCATAGAAAAAACTTTAATAAGCAAAATAACCCCACTAATAAAAGGGCAAATGAATTAAACAGACACTTCTCCAAAAAAGAATACAAATGGCCAATAAATATATGAAAAAATGTTCATCATTAGCAATAAGGGAAAGGCACATCAAAACTATACTGAGTTTTCATCTCACATCAGTCAGATGACAGTCATCAAGAATACAAATAATAATAAATGCTGGGGAGGATGTGGAGAAAAAGGAACACTTTTACACTGTTGGTGAGATTATAAATTAGTACAACTGCTATGGAAATCAGTGTGGAGATTCTTCAAAAGACTAGGCATGGAACCACCATATGGTCCAGTTATATCACTTCTTGGTATTTGTCCTAAAGAATTAAAAGTCTTTACACTACAATGATATATGCATACTCATGTTTATAGCAGCACAATTCACATAGCCAAACTATGGAACCAGCCAAGGTGTCCATCAATGAATGAATAAAGAAGAGTTTTATTTAGTCATAAAAAAGAAATTATGTTATTTGCAGGAAAATGGGTATAGCTAGAGACTATTATGTTAAGCAAAATAAGTCAAACTCAGAAAGTTAAGGGTCATATGTTTTCTATCATGTGGAAGCTAGATAGGAAAAAGAGGGGGAGGATCTCATGAAAATCAAAGGGAAGATCAGTAGAAGAAAGGAACTGAGGGAGTTGGGGAAGGAAGAGGGAAGTGCTGGGGAGTGATATTGGCCAAATTATACTGTTATATTGTGTGTTGTATGCATATATGAATATGTAACAGCAAATACCATCATCATGTACAACTATAATGCACCAATTAAAAACATGAGAGGAAAAATATTTTCCCTCCATTAGGAATTTCCAGAAATCATTAAAAAAACAAACAAACAAAAAAACCCCAAAAAACTCATGCTATCCTGCTTGGAACACAAATCATCCCCTTTGTCCAGTGTATTCATGTTGAATATGCTACCAAGTCACTTAGAAGCCACATTAGAGAAAACAGTATATACAGAGCTTGTGAGATCTGTGGTTTTATGCATACACTGATGTCTTGGAATATGTATTGCCATCAGTTTAGGGAGGGGACTACTGTATATTGACTTTCCAAATATATATATATATATATAGTGTCGTTTAGTCCTCAGAATAAGTCACTAGAGTATTGGTAAGACAACCCTAGATAAGGAAATAGGCCCAGATAAGTGAAGTTTTGAGGTCACACACCTCTCAAAATGTTGGGTCAGGACTCAAATTCAAGTCTGGACAACTATACAGCCAGTCCTTTTTATTTTTTAATCTGCTTGTATGTATCATAAGATTCTCGGGTCAGTCTCTTCTATGTGCTCATAGCAGAGACCAGTTCTTTGAGATGTGTCTTTGATCACACAAGTTCTGATATAGCATTATCATAGTGCAGTTTTCTTTCTTGTCACAAGGAGGAGCAAACTTCTAGCAAGGGATTTAAACTGTTGTCTTATCTTTTGTATCTCTGCAACTGCTGACCAGGTGAGCTTAGGAGTTGTTTACAGCTTAGCCATCATCAGTGAGGCCAGCTGCTTTTGACCTGATGGTACTTGCCCACTCTTGGTCCATTTCCATTCATATTAATTGGCAGTGGGAAAACACAAAGGAAACTAGTCTTTGACTGCATTATCATGAACAATATTTGTTCCTGGTATTTGATCTTGATGGGGTAAGAAAAAATGCCTGAGGGGCTGGGCTTGTAGCTTAGTGGTAGAGCTCTTTTTTCACATTCGTGAGGCCCTGGGTTCGATTCTCAGCACCACATAAAAATAAATAAAAATAAAGATATTGTATCCATCTACAACTAAAAAAAATATTAAAAAAAAAAAATGCCTGAGCTTTCATTTCCACAGTGGGGATCTTAACCTTTGTGGTAGGTACCCTACTCTTTTTGTTGTTTGTTTCTCTAATCTTAGGTGGCTGGGAAGAGAAGGGGTGGTAACTTTACACCTTTCTGGTACAATATCACCCTAGAGTCATTTTAAGTATTGCATCTTTTACATACTCTGTTGAGGGTTCAACAAGTCCTTACTTGGTAGCTGTACAGATGGGAAAAATTAAAAAAAATTATGCTCATAAAATTGTTTAGATAATAAAATATACAAGGGCTCTACTGAACCTGACCTACTTTTGCTTTTGAGCCTGGTTTTATTTGCTTTAACTACGTGAGATAATGGTGTAAAAGGCATTTGAACAATTTGATTTCATTTTTGCTTTGTTTGACTTATGTGGAAAAGGAAGGAAGAAAAGGCGTAATTTTGTTCAGACTCTGGCTCATTTTCATTTTGCTACTATTTGAAACACTTTCCTTGGATTCTGTGGGCCTTCTGTAATAAGCCTCTGCCTTTCTGTCTGGATGAGGGTGCTGCAGGAAACTGCCTGAAATGATGGCTCAGACTGTGATGTAATTGTTGCTGCCCTGGAATTAGGAAGGATTTTAGAAGTTCTTAAAGATATTTTATTTTGAGGGGCTGGAGTTGTGACTCAGTTGTAGAGTGGTTGCCTAGCACATGTGAAGCACTAGACTCGATCCTCAGCATCACATAAAAATAAATAAAGGCATTGTGTTCATATTACAACTAAAAAAATAAAAAAATAAAAAAGATACTATTAAAAAAAAGATATTTGAGAGTCCTTCAGTAGATGGTGACCACTGCCTTGAAATAACGTTAGAAAAGATTAACTGACTTTTTTTTTTTTTAATAATTGGACATAGATATAAGAAGACGTCTGAAACCCTGTCTCAGGCTGGACAGAAGGCTTCTGCTGCATTGTCATCTGTTGGCTCAGTCATCACCAGAAAGCTGGAAGATGTAAAGTATGTCTGCATTTTTCCTTGCTCACTAAGTAGCTCAGGCAGATTGAAATGCTCTTGTGATTGCTTTTGTTTCCCAACTTTGGCTCAAGATGATGCTGAATTCTCTCCTCTGATGGAGTGAGGGAGGGTGCTCTGTCCAGCCAGGACCTAAAATGTTTGCATAACATTCTGACTTCAAAATGATCACCTTATGAATCTGTTAAAAGTTGTTGAGAAATTCTGGTTGCAAACTTTTGTGTTTTTTAGTCCTCCTTCATTTTACAGGGTGGTAAGTATGTCCCTGGTGGTTGCAAATTTGTGATTGTGGGTAGAGCCTGGTGCCTTTCTGGGGATGAGTACAAGAACATTGACATGCACGCTTGGATTGAGACCCAGCTTTACGTTCTGAATGTGCCCATGGTGTGATTGCAACAGGCTGATTTGCACAATGATGCGTACTAACTCGTAAGCTATACCTACATTCATGCTTAGGCCCAAATCTTGATTTTTGAGCTGTTGCTTTTTATTTTGCATTTGTATTTGAGATTAGTTTGCAGATATTTTTCTTGTCATTTTGATAAAACCACTTCATAGTGCTTTTGTGCCTCCCTCTACCCATGTGGATTAGAGTAGTGCTGAAGATGACAAACATGGTTTATATCAGCTGTGCTTTCTGTTGGCATGCAAAATTTGTGATTAAAAAAAAAAAAAAAGCTCAGATTGCATGACTTTGTGTATCTTGTTTGTGGAGAAAGTAGATTTTACAACCAGAATTTTGTTAGTTGAATAGGTTTGGTCAGTTAAGGTATTATATACTTTGTATCAAAATAACCAAGTTCCTGGCTCATTGTATTTGGAGTATCGTAAATCTAAGCTTAATGTAATAAGCATAGTTTTCTTGACCCCTTTTACACATATGTGTGTGTTTTATATATATACATACGTTTATTAGATGCTCTCCTTTTTACGCTGATTGAATGGTGTTGTAGCATTTTAGGGCCCAGGTAAAACATCATATGACTTTTTTAAAGTAGGTTATTTAATTGTTCTAGATTTATCAGTACTTCCTTTCTTTTTTAATGCTTACTCTGGCTTCTTACAGATTGCAAGCTTTTTCACATTCCTTTAGGTAAGGAGAGTTTGAACCATCACTGCAGTCTAGCAATCATGTAAGACAAGTGTGCTAAGATGAGATGATTAAGCCACGTTGAATGGTCATGTTTGTCCACTACATAATTTTCTTGCATTTGCAATATCTTTTTCCTCTAGTGCATTTCTAATTTTAAAGGGAGGGTTTCGTATACCATGAGTAATGGATAAATTAAAAGAAGAATTTGACACTGTGGTTCAAGGGATATGGAAATGGTTTTGAAGTTTCTTTTTTAATTTTTTTTTTTTTAAAAGAAGCAGTCTTACCATGGCATGCAGAATTCCTCCCTTTTAATGTCTGACTTTGTTTGTTTGTTTTTGATGCTTTTGGTTCTTTGGTGCTTTTGTAAGGATGTTGGAATTCTCCTTCACCTGGGTTCCATTATGTAATTATAATAGACTGCATATGTACTGCCTTGTGTTAAGTCCTCTGTCTTATATGAGCAACTCTACTTTTTTTGTGTGTTTGTTAAAATAAACATAAGAATTTTTTTACCATTACTTCACACTTTTTAATACTTGTATTACTAGCTTACAGTTTTTGCCATTTTATTACCCCAGTTATATTCTTTATGCACCAAAACAATTTCATGATTTTGCAAAGGAAAAAGTGTATTAGTCTAAAACAGAAAGTGCATTTAAAAGACATTAGCTCAGGTCATGCCTTATAGGAGTACTTGTGATATTGAGCAAACCTTTCTTTTCTCCCAGACTCTGATAATCAGTCAGGTGTGGGAAGTAAACAAAAGTGGAGGGAGATCTTTAGAGTGTCAGCAGGAAGGATAATATAGTAGTTTCCATTTCTGTTCCTGTTATAGCAAATTGTCTTCTCAAGCATCACTATTGTGATCTAGCTATAATATGCCTTCTTAAGTAAGCAAATGGATACTTAATAGCTCAGAGTTTGATGACACGCAGTCCTAGAAGTGAGTCAGTCATAGGGATGTACAGACTCTAAATGTTGAACTCTTTAAAGCAAAAAATTATGTGTTAAAAAAAATCAAGTCACTAGCTAGGTGCAGTGGCACACGCCTATAATCTCATTGACCCAGGAGGCTGAGGCAGGAGGATTGCATGTTTGAGCCTTACTTCAGCAATTTAGTGAGACTCTAAGCAACTTAGTCTCAAAATAAAAAAATAGAAAGGGTGGGGAGGTAGCTCAGTGGTAAAGCATCCCTGGATTCAACCCTCAATACAAAAAAAAAAAAAAAAAATTAAAAATCAAGTCACCAGTAATAGGAGGTGATTTTATATCTTTGGAGTTCAGTAAAAAAATGGCCTAGGGGCTGGGGCTGTAGCTCAGTTGGGAGAGTGCTTGCCTTGCATGCACAAGGCCCTGGGTTCAATCCCTAGCACCATATTTTAAAAAATGGCCTAAATATTGTAGGCCACTGAGTAAGCATTCAGTTATATAATTCATTCTGCTAACTTCAGGGTGCCTGCTGTGGGCAGATCCTAAGGTTATAACTATAAAACAGACAAGGCAGTTATTAAAATAGAGCTTAAAATTTTTGAGTCAAGTGGGGTAAGGAGAAGGGGACTTGGGATGTATTTAAGAATGGAAGACTCTGTAAGTATTTGATTAAAGAATGTTAGATGTGATATAGATGTAAACTATAAGAACATGCAAGGGCTCTAGAGAAATGATATGTTTCATCTGTACTTATCACTATTATTTTTCTACATCTTTAGAAATATCAAGTAGATGGATATAGGTATCTAGTCTTGTTTTTAATGACTATACTGTGTATCAATATGTGGATGTTAAGTAAATCTTTTGATTAATACTTGGAATGAGAGACATAAGATACTGATAAATCTTTGTAATTAATTCTTAACAGACCAAAGGTTGGGTAACCCGCCCCCACATTTTGGTGGTACTGGGAGTTGAATCCAGGAGCACTTTACTGCTAAACCACACCCCAAGTCCTTTTAATTTTTTGAGACAGGGTCTTGCTAAATTCCCAGGCTGGCCTTGGAATCCTCCTATAATCCCAAGTAGGTGGGATTACAGATGTGCACCAGTCACTTATTCTGATGGAGTGTGTTTAGATGTATGAAGAAAAACTACATCTTTAAGATCATGTGGGTCACAGAGGCAAATACTAGCCATGGGAACTGTTCAAGGAGAGGGAGCTAGACTGTAAAATTGAGTGCTCCAATTTCAGCAGCAAGGCCCTTTACCACCAGGGATAGATGCAGGAGGCTCCTTTGGGCAACTGCTTGGTTAATCCAGTTGACTATTCCAAATCTGTATTTCTGGAAAATTTAGGCCAGTGATTTCACTCTTAAATGTAATTACAAATACAGAAGGAGAAATGTACCTAGTTTTGCCAACTTGAAGGTATTAAATTAAAACTGTAGTTGACTCGTACAGAGTCATCTAATTATCTCTTAAAGTTTAGATATTTGTCATACTTTGATTAGGGGAAAAGAGGAGAGGAGAAAGAGAGAGAGGGAAAATGAGGGAGATGGAGAGGAAAGAGAAGGAGGTAGAGAGAGATGGAGGGGGTAGGGGGAGTGAGTAAGAGAGAAGGAATGATGATATGAATATCTGTTTTATGCTTTGAGAATGAGGGCCCAGCAGGGCTGCTAAGGGTCAGGTAGGACAAGATAATGAGAACTGTCCTGGGGAACTTCTGGGGACAGCCAGCTTTCCCCCAGGTGCTCTATGCATTTCCACTACTCTCCTCTTTGCTTACTCTTTATACATACATGTAAGTATTGGCTCATGCTTTTACAATTTCAAGATAAACTTTAAAAGAACAGTTCATCAGTGCTACTGTTAAACATAATTTCATTGTTACAAATAGTATAACTGTATTTATTTAGTAGCATGTGGCTTATTTTTGATACATTTAAGAGGAAGTGCTAAGTCATTTTACCCTCATTTTCAAAGGGAATTGCTTCTTTTAAAATGTTTCATGTATACGATTAGATATTTTTTGTTTTGTTAAAATCATTCAAGATAAGTCGCTTTTGCTGAAAATTTCTACCCCTTAGTGAAAAAGAAATGTCTCTTTTTAGAAAGAGAATACCCTTTGATTAGACTTTGAAACACTATAATAACTTTTATAACTTTCATACCTCTACTTCCCAATTTTAGTTAACAAAATTGTTTATTCCTCGATTCTTTCATTTAGAAGTATTTATTGAGTGCTGTGTATTGAGTACTGTTCTGGACTGTAGGGTCAAAGCTAATGAATGAAATAACTATGAAATTTGAAAACTTTGAGAGAGAACATTTAGCACGAAGTAGATGCTGATTTGTGTTTCAACTCAAATCATCCATTATAATAATGGTTAAAGAATTTATGCCACGAAAAGCTATGGATTGAGCTTCTGAAGTAATTGTGGGATTGCTTTCATACTGCAGTTGGGAGGAAACTGCCCCATGGGGAGATTGATTTCCGCAGGGTTGGCAAGCAAGTGTGAGTGACTGATGGTCCGGATTTGATCCCAGGACATCCTAGATCTGAAACTGGCACTCTCTCCTGTGCTTCCCCAGAGGAGTGATAGTTTGAGATGGTTTCTCTAGGCATTGCTTAGAAGTAACTCTTCCATTGTCTACATGAAGACATTGTTGGGGGCAAAATGGCATAATCATGTGCAGACGGCTCTTACAAGCCTGCCTGGCTGAAAGCCGCACATCCTCTTCCTTGTCTTTCTCCACTTACTGTATCCTTCCCCCACCCCACCATCTGCCCCTCCACCGCTAGTTATTAAGATGAAAAGTTCAAAATAACTGTGTAAGAAATCAGAAAAAAAATTAAAATCAGTTTAGCTATTTTTAAAAAATTACCTTTTGGGGGCTGGGGATATAGCTCAGCTGGTAGAGTGCTTGCCTTGCATGCACAAGGCCTGGGTTCAATCCCCAGCACCACCAAAAAAAAAAAAAAAAAAGAAATAACCTTTTCACAGTAGGAGTAAATTTGAGATTAGGAAGTATTTAGTGAGAATCAGGATGCCCTGTGACTTTTTTTCTTCTTCTCAGTGTGTTTTGAGAAACACAGCTTTATATTTCTACTTTGATAATATATTTGATGTTTACAAATCAAGGTGGGAAAGTTTGCTATAGATGCTAACTGATCCTTACAGCCTATGAGATGATTCTGGTCTAGCAGCACCCTGGTATTTTGCTTTTGAAGGTTTCCACATTATATTTAACCTTGGATGAAATTTTAAGTTGAAGCAGTTGAAGCTTTTGTTAACTTTCCAAAGAGAAGCCCAAATGAGAGCTGCTGTCCCCTGGATTACAGACTATCTACCAAAAAAAAAAAAAAAAAAGAATTTCATCTAAATTTGGATTGTAGAGAAGACCAGATAATTGGATGGAATTTAAGCTGGTGTGTGCTCCTTGTTCTTCCTACTGAAATGGCTATCTCAAAGGCAGAGAATCCTCAACTATAACCCTATCTCTATTAATTGATTTATTTTGTTTAATGGGTACATCTAAAAATCCTTTTACTGTGAAATACAATGCACACAGAGAATTGCTCAAATTGCTCAAATCAAATTCAGTTCAGTGATTTTCACAAATAAACCTTAATCAAATTGCTTCCTTTCTCTTTCTTACATATTACCACTGAAGAACATTTAGTTGGTTTGTGCTGGTTAATGGGACTGAGAACCCAGCTGTCTGCTGATAAGATCAGTGACTACAATTAGCTGTGAATTTTTAAAATTTGTACTTACCTTATTCACTTATTTCCTCAGTCCATTGATACTGTAGAATTCAGTGTATGTCCTGTGGACTGTTTATCTGGGTTTGGCCATCCCTTGCCTTCTGTCACCAGAATTTGATAGTTTCTGCCATAATGCGTGTTCTAGTGAAGATCTGGTTGCATGGAACAGAAAACTATCTAAGTTAGTTCATCTTAAATGGAGACTGGGTTGCACAGATTAAAAAAAAAAAAAAAAATTGTGATCCACAGAGAGGAAAGGAAGCAAGTCCAGGCCCCAATCAAGGCAGTCCTGCTTTATTGGAAATGGGTTAGAAATTAGGATAACTTCTAGAAACTGAGGAAACCAGTTCTTGCTCAACCCTGCCCTGTTCCCTGCATGGTCTTCTCTCCTTGTTACCTCTAACTGCTTAGGCTTGATTCCTTCTTTGGGAACAGGCTTCCTGTGCTTGCAGCTTTCCCCTTGTCTCAAAGAAGTCTTTGTCAGTATTTAAGTCGATGTGACTTTCTGGCTGAAGTAACTGCCACTAACTGAACCAGAAGCTAACTATAGCATACTAGTCTGAATCTTTTAACCCCCTGCCCTATTCAGTCCATACAGTCTGTAGCTCACAGGAGGTTAGGTGTGGGCTCTGCTCCCTGGCCCATTTATCATATGACTTATGGTGGAAGGTGGTTTGTGGCAGTGTGGCTGTTCTAGGCAGTTTCTTTAGAAGGATGAGGTGAGGGGCAGGTGATGACTGGAGTTCTGGTGTGGAGAATTTAGAAGGATGCTTATCATCAATCTCTGTCCTCCAAATATGGAACCAATAACTTCAGATCAAGTAGGAAAAGGACTAGTAAATGCCTTCCAGAGTAGATTATAGTCCTTTAATCAACATATCAACCACCATTGTAGGATGGAGAGAATACTCAGTTACATGGATCTTTTCCTGTGTTACATAAGATATCAAGTACAGAGATGTCCAGATATTTTATTGATTATCTTGATTACACAAACTTTCAGAATATTTTGATGTATTTTAAAATAGTAACTCTATATTACACATGAATACAATACTAGATTTGAGGAGCTGCATTTAAAACATATTATCATTTGTTAACAACTGAGTCTCAGAGAAAACCAAATCATAAACACACAAAATACTTAAATATAATTGAGTCTTGCTACCTTGAATGGTTCACTTTATCCAAAGGAAAGTTTATTTATATAAAAAAAAGCTGTTCCAGTGGTCAAAATTATGTATATGGTAACAGTAAGAGCAGATTGCAATGATTTTAAAATCCCAGGAATAAAGGTACTTTCAACATATGAAGTGTTCTCTGGGAAATGACTAAAAATAGATACCCTTGAACCTGTACAGTTACTCAGAAGCCTTCCTTGAGTAGAAGTTGGACCTAGTAAGACAGAGAACCAAATTTTATTTGGCCTTTTAGAAACATTCAATTTAATTGGGTTGAGTATAGGATCTCTTATTACAAAATGGGTACTGTTATTACTGAGGAGTGATATGTAATTTTAAAATCACTTAAAGTTGTCAGGTAATTTATTTTGAAACCTACCTGTTCTAGCCTGGGAACAAATACCTGAGAGAAAGGGGGCTGCAGGGCCTTTTACTGGCCTCGCTTGTGTATTTGTATGTGTGCTTCATTTTTGAGGGGAGGTGGTAAACATTGAATTAAGAGTCCCTGAGACCCAAGTTCATTCTTAATTCTGCCATGACCTTGGGTAAACCATTTTACTTCTGAGCCTCTGTAAGGTTATGCACCTTGCAGATCCAGGTGAGAGTACGGTTTCAAAGTCTGATAAAAATGCAAGGTTGTATTATTAGTTGTAATAATGATTGGGATTAATTGGTTTATGAGTAAAAATAAATTATGTTGGAATAACTTTGATCCCCTCCACCTCAAAAAGCAGATACTTCTTCATAGTGCCAAAAGAATAAAGCTATAAAGCTTAAGTTTTGTTGGCTTTTTATATGTTGAATCACCCCTATATACTAACTTCATTTCTATCTCTTTTTAATGCTGCCTCTTAGTATACGCTCCATTCAACATTCAATTAGCATGCCTGCTATGAGGTAAAGTATATTTTTACAAAGTGTAGTTGGTATTATGCTTTCTGGTGCTTTGTTTAAATGTTTAACCTGAACTCTTCTGAGGCGGGGATCTAGAATTCTACTCTTAACAAGCTACGTGTTTAACACTGTATCAGTCTTCAATTACTCTTACAGTGTTGGCATGGGTACAAGAGATCCATTAAATGTTTGAGTTAAAAAGGAGTTTCTGTTTTATTTTATAAAGCCTTTATGTTGTTTATAAGTGGATGCTACTCTCTAAAGAACCTTCTGTTCAAGGGTATGGCTGGCCCACCTCCTTTGTGAGCATTAGCCTTCGTTACACTCCCTTTTTCTCCCATTCAACCCATCTTTGCTTCCCTCGTCCCAGTGTGATGTTGGGAGACAACTGTGATTAATTCTACTGTGTTTTCATCAGTGAGCACTCGAAGTAGTACATGTTGTTCTCTTTTCCGATCCCTCTAGAGAAGCAGAGGATTTTAAAAATGTCTGCTTGGTGTGCATTGGAATCTCCCAGAGGGCTTGTTAACCCTGCTTGCTGGGCCCACTCCTAGAGTTTCTGCTTCTGTAGAGCTGGGGTGGGACTATGGGTTTGCATTACCCACAAGTTCTGTGAAGTTGTGGACCCAGCTGTTGTGGGGGCCACACTTTGAGAACCATTGGCTTACCTTAGTCTGTTAACACCACTGTGAGAAGGGGGAAGCTCCTGGTTTCCTTCTCTGCCTTTTCATCTTGATAGGAGGATATTCAAGGTCTAGTATATAGGATAAAAATTGTGGAAACCCATGGGTGAGATAAAAGTGCTGCAGTCCTTAATTAGTGTGGGTCAGTGTGACTGTGCCTACAAGCGTCCCTGGGGCTCAGAGGCTGTCAGGTGAGGCAACTTGTTAAGTATCAAAGTCAAGTTTCTGTGCTCCTCCCCTCCTCTTGGTCCCTCCTTTCCCTGTCTGTGGTGCTGCTCCCTGGAAATTAGGATCCTTGTTGTAGAACCCCACAGGATCTGCTTTTCCTGAATGGGTGGTATTGGACTCCTGCCAGGTAGGAAGTGAATATAATCAGTTGTTCTAGAGTCTAGTATCTTTACCAAAATTAAACTAATCTAATGGTGGCATTTTCTTGAATTGTGACACGTTGATTGGGGAAGTGACAGACTTGATGTTTTACCTGGTTTGTTACCACTTCTCTCACATGTACTGTATTTTTTCTGTATCACTTTGTCTAAATGTGATTAGACTCAAAATCATGGACTCAAAATCAGACTTGTAAAAATATTAGCTCAGGAATTGGTAATCTTACATAAAAATATTTGTGCATATACCTGCACACATGTACATATAAATATATCTGTTATTTTGCTCACTGAGAATAATGGTGAAGAGGAATATGGTCAGCTAATAATACTCAAAACTGTCGAGTTTTTTCAGTGTTTATAATTTAACTATTTTTTTTCCCTCCCTAGAAACTCTCCAACTTTCAAATCATTTGAAGAAAAGGTTGAAAACTTAAAGGCAAGTACAAAGGTGAACATGGTCTTTGTGACAAATTGCATGTGCCTTAACTTTCTTTGGTGTAGGTAAATCATTTGCATCTGTGTGTGTGTGTGTGTGTGTGTATATATATATATATATATATTTTTTTTTGTAGATGGACACAATACCTTTATTTTATTTTACTTATTTATTTTTATGCGGTGTGGAACATCGATCCCAGTGCCTCACATGTGCTAGGCAAGTGCTGTAGCACTGAGCTACAAACCCAGCCCTTTTAAAATTATTTTTATTTTTCATACTGGGGATTTAACCCAGGGGTACTCTACCTCTGAACTACATCCTAGCCCTTTTTATTTTATTTTTGAGACAGGGTCTCACCAAGTCACTGAGGGTTTTGCTAAGTTGCTGAGGCTGGCCTTGAAATTGTGATTCTCTTCCTTAGCCACCCAAGTCACTGAGATTACAGGTGTGCACTACCATGCCTGGCTTTTTTTTTTTTTTTTTTAAATTAAAAAAAAAAAAAAACCCTTTAAGAACCATACTCTTTATGCTATTAATGGATATTTCAAGAGTTATGTAACTCTTTTAACCAATATATTTTGAGGGTATGTTATAGCATAGTAGCATGCTAAATGCTGAAAGGATATGTACAGTTTAAAAAGCAATAGCACTTTAAAAATTTGTGCTGCTTTTTGCTTTATTCATTTTAAATAAAATATACTATAAATTTATTGTAGTTAACAATATAGAAGGCACAAAAATTTTTAAAAACTTGGTGTTACTACCCAGAGACAGTAATACACACACACACACACACACACACACACACACACACAGCTGTTATACCTTAAAATGGATGTTGTTTTTTAGTCCTTCATTATTGGGCATTCTGTTTTTATTTTATTATAGTGAGGCCATGATGATTATCATTTACTGTTCACTGTTTTGCATTATCTCAAAGATTATATTAAAAAGAAAATCATCAGTTCTTAGAATCACAAGTGACCTTAAATGTCATATAATTCATATGCACTGACTTGCTCTAGTTTGTATGATGGCTATGTGTTCATTGCTTCCTAACTTAATTCTGATAATTATAGTGGCATCTTTGAAGGGTTAAAACCGATATCTTAATGAGCATAAAAGCTATTATTTAGTTTTCAGAACTTTAACAATGTCACTCATTCTTAAATCATCTTTTAAAAATTATAGAGCCAGGGTATATTTATTGAAAGAAAATCAAATGCTGCATAGTGATCTGGATTTTTTTTTTCCCCCTCGCACATACCAACATTAGCACACACCTTTTCTGTTTGTATGCACATACCATGAATGTTTTCCAGAGGCACAGTATACACACAGCCTTATAGCTTATTTATTCAAAACCCACCAGCATGGTGCTCTGTGAACTCATAATGATAGGGTCCTGTTCTTTCTGTTCACTGAACTTCTCAGTGGCCTAGAATAATGCTTTGCACATTGCTCAGTATGCATTTGATGAATAAAAAATACATCATCTTCTAAATCTGTACAAGAGACCTGCTTAGTTTTTGAAATAGCTAGCAAGCACAGATACATCAATGTGGAAAAGCGAGAACTGACATGTTATGTATAAAGGTTTTGAAAAGCATAAAACACTGTATAAATGTATATGTATTCAAACATATTTATTGACAATTTCAGTTTAGATAGGCTAGAGTAGTGTTTCACAAACAGAATGTACACATGAATCATCAGGATCCTATAAAAATGTAATTTCAGTTTTGTGGTTGGAATTAGGGTGGGGAAGAGTATGTGTCTGAAATTTTGCATTTCTGACAAGCTCCCAGATGATGTTGAGTCTGCAGGGCCTTGAAGCACACGTTAAGTAGTAAAGGGCTGACATGCCTACACTGTATAGAAAAAATACATATATTATCTTTTATTTATTTTGCTCAGTATTTCTTCAGTAAGTGGAGGTGAATGAAGAACTGAATGTAATACAAAATGTTTATCAAGTAACAAGAGTTCAGTAGATACTTTATATTTTTCAGTAGATATTTTAGAATAGGCTTTACAAAGTTCTTTAAACAAAATTTCCTTTGAAGAATAGTTAGTTGATGGGGCTGGGGCAAGGGTAGAATTTACCACCCTGAATGTTACAACAGTACTAAATTCCATATATATATATATCACTGAGCTACCAGGTTCTTGACTTGTTTGTTTTTGAAAGTAAAATTAGAGTTCCTTTATGCAGAGTTAGCTAATTTTGTTTCATATTGTCTTTTCTTTTTTGAACTTTTTTTTAAGTCTAAAGTAGGGGGAACCAAGCCTGCTGGTGGTGATTTTGGAGAAGTCTTGAATTCGACTGCAAATGCTAGTGTCACCGCCACAGAGCCGCCTACAGAACAGACGCAGGAGAGCCTGTGAGATTCCTACCTTTGTTCTGCTACCCACTGCCAGATGCTGCAAGCAAGATCCAAGCACATCTTGTCAACATTCATTGCCATGAATTTCTACCAGATGTGCTTTTATTTAGCTTTATGTATTTCTTTGACCAAATAGTTTGTGGGTTAAACAAAATGAAAATACCTTCACCTCTACTTCTGGGAAACACCCTTTAATGTGTATTGAAGGTCCATTATTTAGGAAATACTATTATATAAAGTCACATATAGTACCTGGGGATGCTCACTAGGATGATCTGAGAAGCTGCAGGTGATCATAGTTGCTTTCTTACTTTATAAAATTGCTCTGCATCTGGGATGCCAGTTTGCTCTTTTGTCTTTTATAAGAGTATTTTCCTTTTTGAATCGCTGCATATTTGATTCCTGACTAAAATTGTTCTTTTAAATTTTATGAATCCTGGTTATTAAAAATTTTAGTATCATTTTTTTTTACCTTAAGGGATGAACTACGAACTACAAAAAAATCCCATTTTTGAATAAACACTCCTTAATATAAGGTACCTATCTTGGCTATCTGAAGATGCCAGACTAAAATAAACAGTTCTACATCCATTTTGTTATAACTTCATATGTACAGTAATTCAAACTGCTGGGTGACTTGAGAGTAGGACCCCCATCCCCATATCCTTGTTAATTGGCATTCGTGACAGTAAGCATTTCAGCCTATTAGTTATTTCACCACTATGTCAACTTTTTTTCAGATTCAAGTTTAAAGTTCAGAGTAAACTGACATCATTCTGAGTCAAACATACTGTATTTCAGTAGGCCGAAATATGAGTGCACCCGTCAGTGTTCTAGACCTAGTTGTAAACATGCTAAAATCAACCACATCAGGGAACACATTGCTGTCTCCACTTAATCCATTTAGCATCCTTTAAGTACACAAAGTTATATTACTGTTAAAACTTGAACATATTTTGGTGATAATTCCTGAGGATGTAATACATTAATAAAAATCAATTCATTATTCTCTACTTGTTTTCAGTGTAAGAAATTATAAAATGATACTGTAGACATTCCCCTGCTGTGAGAGCTGTGTTGGGGCTAATGAATCAAAGCCTCTGGACAGATCTGCATAGAGGCTGAGGTTCTAACTCTACTCTGACTCACCACCACTTTTTTCTTATGCTGTAAATGTAATGGCTTACATTGTCGTATCTATTATTTATCAAGTTGTGATTGTTTTATTGTTTATGCCAAATGTTAATTGCCAAGCTTGGAGTGACCTCAAACTTTTTTTTAAAAGCATGACTAGATGTCTTTATGATAAATTCTTCTAAACACCAAATTTGAAAAACCCCAAGTGGTTTTATAAAATAATGTGCTGCCATTCTTGATTGCTAGAGCTTTTGTTAGCACTCTGATACAGTTGAAACTATGCTCTATTACATGTGAAAAACTTAATAAGTTCTGTATATCAGTAGTATAGATCTCAATATCTATTATGAGACTAGTGTTCTGGAAATAGTTTATTGTATAAAAAAATCAACTGGTACCTCTTCTTTTAAAAAGGCAATTAAAAAAATAATCCACTTTAAACCACTGCTTAATGGTATCAGATTAACATTCTCTAATTTCCTTCTAAAGGCTTTAAGACAAAAGTTGAAGCATTGGCCCAGAAGAGAGCTCTGTAGAAATTTGTCACTTTATAGAAATATTATGGTTGTTCCTCATAGCTGTTAAGTTATTTTTTCCAACAACTAGTCTTTAAAAAATTTGTTGTTTTTCAATCATCTTCAGTTCATCACATTGTTTCTTGGGTGTCCTGCCTTGTTCATGTCTTTTCAACACTGCCAAATAGAGTAAGATGGCAATTTCTTTAGTTGAGAGAAATATTCTATCTTTTTACTGTGTGTATGCAAAAAAAATTATAGAAATTGGAATGGGAAATGGAATGGGTATATGAAGGTGAGTACTGGAGATGGTCATGAAAGAACTGGAGAATCATTTTTTGTTTTTATCTTGTTTGCCCCCCAGCTAATCATTTTGTAGACATCTTTCCAGTCTACAAACCAACCAACCAACCAACCCTTGCTTCTTAAAAGTAAAGAATGAGGATGAATTAGGAAAATAAAACTGGATTTAGACATACTATGCAAAATGTTCTTTGTGGTAGATTCAATATTATGAGACAGATACTTAAGAAATTTGTAAAAGTGATTAATAGGAAAACCCAGAAAGAGGTCCTGGCTACTCTGTTGTGTGTTATATGTGACACTACAAGAAAACAGCAGGAAAGTGAAATCTCAGATATTTAAGGATTCAAGAAGTGTAACAGAAGAAAATATCACTGACAACAACTCTGTCTTACAAATAGGAATGTCTTTAAATTATAGAGTGTGGGAATACTGCATGATTTGTATGCTTGTAAGACCAAAGTAATCAATGAAGAGGGAACAAATTAATTGGATTATCATCTTAGCAACTTAATTACTGCAATACAAAAAAGAAAAAAAAAACACCAAACAATTTGGACTGTTCTTTATCTGTTAAGATACACACGCTGTCTATTTTTTGTATAATATTTGAAAACAATAAAAATTCTATGATTTGGGTATGGGTTCTTTTGTATGTATTACCTGTCTGTGGAGGAAAGGGGTAAGTCCATTAGGCAAACTTAACTCCAAACCTGTTCTATCCTGGATATGTAAGAACCATGACAGCTGTATTGAATCAATGTTATCAAGCAAAAATGAGAAAGCTACATGCTGGCTACCAAAAGGCATTTATGAAGTGACTATTTGCTGCACATGTTCCAGAGAAAATGCTGCATAAGGCAGTTTGTCAAAATCATGTTTCTTTATAGTTAAAACCAGATGAAAACTCTGATTTTTGCACGTAGTGAAAACATTTGGCCATTGATTAATCATTTTTAGTGATGGTCCCATAATTATATATTAGTTATAGAGACCATGGGTGGGTCACAATTAATAGAAAACATTGCTTTTGAATAATCCAGCAAACTTCAAAACTTCCATATTCTGATGTTGAAACTAAAATGAATCTAAAGGCTTTTTCAAACTCTTAGTATGTGAGCTCTTAGAGAGCAGGGTCTGCATGTGCCTGTCACCTGCCAGGATTTCATACTTCAATAAATGCTGTTTGGTGACTCAAATTCTTGAAAACTCATAATTTTTTTTGGTACTGGGGATTGAACTGAGGGACATTCTACCACTAAGGTAGTTACATACATCCCAGCACTTTCTATTTTCTGAGACGAGGTCTTCCCAAGTTGCCCAGGCTGGCCTCAAATTTGTACTGCTCCTTTAGCCTCCTAAGTATCTGGGATAACAGCATGCACCACCCTGCCCAACTCATATAATTTTGATGTTACTGAGGCTAGTCAGTGTTATTATTTTAATTTGATGGTTCTTCTACTACACAGTAAAAGCGAAACACAGTTTTTGGGTTTTGAATTATATTTTTAAGTGGCTATCTTCAACATTCTCTAAAGGTTTTCTTGCTTTCCAGGATTAATTCCATTATTTTCCAATTTAACTAACAGTATTTTTCCAATTCCTTAAACGCTATTTGCCTATCTTCAGTCATCTACAGGATCCATCTTCTTAATGAGCTTATCTATTTCTTTACCTGAAATGACTGTCTTTGGACAGTCTGTACGTCTAGACCAGTTCCCTATTCCAGGCCCTTATATGTGGTTAAAAGGCACAAATCTTTAATCACCTCCTAGTCACCTAGCCATCAATAAGCTATTTTTTGAGCTTTCATTAAGTGCCTAGGCATTTTACACATTTCCTTTAATTAGGGGTGTGGTTTCAGTTTTATAGATGAGACTATAGCCAGTACTTGTGAGGCCAGGATTTGAATTATTTTCTGTTCACTTACCTTGCCATCTGCCATTACTAGTATTTTTGTAATGTGTGTTTTAACTTGCAAAAAGGAGGACTATTTTTAATGAAGCAAGAGGGAAGGTGCAGTTAGGGCAGGATCAGAGTCCTTAAGATGTGAAAACACTGCCCCTCTGTAGCGTCTGTTTCTATTTGTGGCTTGCATAGGCAAAAAAGCCTGCAAATCCTCATTTGATGCTTCTGATTCTCTATCAGAGGCAGATAGTTTTGCTTATTAAAAAATATTGTGGAAGTACTCTTCAATCTTCAAGTAAAAGTATGAAGAAGATGTAGCCTACTTATGTGGACTCACAGCCCATCGACATGTAACTTAAAAAAAAAAAAAAAAAAAAAAAAAAAAACCCTACAGGAATTGTTCTGAAAATGACTTATCACACAGTCCTTGAGAAGCTTATCATTTGGCTGAACTAGGTCATGATATACCTATTGAGTTTCAGTACTAGGGAGTACTCACCTGGAATAGAATTTATATTAAGCTCCTACTGAATTTATAAGGGTTTTCCCACAGTTGGCTAGTTGTAGTGAATCCTACAATTACTTCTAATGTTTTGTGTATTGTCTATGCCATAGAAGGCATGAGAAAGGCATCCCTAGCCGGAGGCATTAGTAAAATAGGGTTTGTGGTCCTAAAAATTACTTCCCTCAGTAATTTTTTCAAATGACATGGAAAAGTGTGTGCCACCTGTCTCCAAAATAGCTTGATTGCAGGTTAACATTAAAACTACTGGGTAAAAGATGGCTGAACTACTTCATTAATTAAAAAGTGAAGTATGGTGTTTGAAGAAGGTGGGCAAAATCTCGGAATTAATATTGAGGTAAAAAAAGTGACAGAGCCGCTGGTACAATACACAGGCACTATCTGAAATTCCCTAGTGTTAGGGAACAGACAGATGTGAATGGTGGGAACACAGAGATTAAGAGAGTAATTCCCCCCAAATGGGCCCACTGTGCTGCCCCCACATGCTTTCTTTTCCAGAAAGCAGTTTACCTGCAGCCCTGTCTAGCCATTCCTCAGCAAGCTGCCAGTTATCTGCAGGAGAACTACAGGTGGTTAAGAGGACCCCAAGTTGCACTGAAGGAGGAGACTTTTATGACCAGATACTGAAATACTAGGAGATAAGAATAGTTCCTCCTAGCCATAAAATCTACAAGAATATATGGTTAAGAGTCCACCTAAAACTTAAAAATAAATAAATATTTTTAAAAAATCCAATTAGAACTGGCCAGCATGGGCCAAGGTGACCTAGAGTTGTCAAGACAGTAGGGATTTGAAAGGCTGATGTCATCTTGCTGTCAGCCAAAAGTCATGAGGTGGACCTGGGTGGGACATTTTGGAAACATCTCTGGGATCCCCAATAAAACTGAAGTGTAAGAATGGCACATTGTCCCTCTCCTGTCACAGAGGCAATTCTCTCCTTTGAGAGTGTCCACATTCCTTTTCCCTATCCTTTCTATAAACTCATTCCTGTTACTCTGAGCAACATGTCTGAAATCTTTCTTACTTGATCACAAGAATCAGGGTTTGAAGGGCAGATTTTTGCATTGCCTGTTTCTTGCAAGGACCAAGCTCCTTAACACTAGAAGGTACAATAGCTATTAGGAGGTGACAGACGTCTCAGATTATTATATTCACGTGAGGACTGGCCCCAGAAGTGGCAAAGGACTAACTTGCATCCAGAATTTCACGAATGTGAATTGTTCGATGTGAACTGCGTCTTACTAAGTGCCCAGTACAAAGGACCTAACAGCAAATTCCTTCCTTCATGGAGAAAATTCGGAAAGCACCTAAAATTTTAAGTACAACACATGGTATATTGGAAAGTGCTCAAAGGCACAAAGAAAGCAGAGCACCGGAGTGCATATCCGGACTTCCAATTCTAAGTAGGGTAACAGGGAGATAACTTCCAATTCTAAGTAGAATAACAGGGAGAACTGAAGGAACCTGAAAGATTGCATTACCGCACTCTGCCATGAACTAAGCGCACTTCCCACACGAAACGGCGATCTCCAGTCCCTGAGGATATAGTCCATGCATTTTAACTTAAACCTCCACCTCCTACACTTCTTCCTCAGCACAGAACAGCCCGCAAACAGGCAGACCTCCTGGCTCCGCGGCAGGTGGGCGGACCTCTCCTGGCTCCGCCCTTGACCCGCACGCTTGCGGAACGGAGGCCGTAGGTCAGAGGTTGTGAAGGCGTCATGGCGGCTCTGTGTGGGACCCGTGCCGTGGCTGCCGAGAGCCATTTTCTGCGAGTGTTTCTCTTCTTTAGGCCCTTTCGAAGCGCAGGCACTGAAAGTGGCTCCGAAAGTGGGAGCTCCGATTCTTCGAAGCCTCAGACGAGTCCAGGCGGCTTTGCCAGCGCGTTGGAGCGGCACTCAGAGCTGCAGCGGAAGGCGGAGCTCCGACGGGTGAGAGGCAGCCGCGGAGCCACGCCCACGACGCGGTTGGGCGGCTGGGGCCGGCGTAAAGGGTGGGGTCACGCCTGTGACATGTGGGCGGGGCCGGGCGGGCTAGTGGGCGGGGAGTCGGCGAGGGGAACCGGAACTGGGAGGGCTGGAGGTGGCTGGTGGCTTGGGGGACCTGGGGGACTTGGGGACCTGGGGGACTTGGGAACCTGGGAGGCTGGAGGGCTGTTGTTGGGCCGTGTGTTGGCTCTATGGCTGGCCGCTAGCAGCCGAGCGCGTGGCTGGTGTTTTTCTTCATTGATTGTACTTTTATGTGACTGATTCTGTAAGCGCGGGTCTTGCTGGGGCTTGCTGGCTCTTGGGCAGCAGGGAGCGCTGCCAGTGAGGAGGTCTGGGGCGACTCCGGGGACTGGTAGAAGTGGACTCACACTGGGAGAGGCAAGGCTCTGCTTGGTCTCCTTCTATACAATAGCTCCAGTGTGGAGCTTCTTGGTAGCTGTTCTAAGTATTTGTTAGGGGAACGATGGAATTACTATTTTTCTGAACTTGGGCAAGTGATTTAACAGGTCAGTGCTTCATTTTCCTTTTCTGTAAGTGACATTTTTTGGGTTTCTTACACCTTTGCCTTAGCCAATATTTTTGCAAAGTACGAAATAACTAAATATTAGTGAAATAAAGGAAATAGAAAAGTACAGATGTTGTTTTTGTTTTGTTTTTTACTATTGCATTCAGCAGACATGAAATTGGATATATTAAAAAAAATTTCTCAATTTCTGTATTTATTTCCTTGGGTAATAGTATCAAATAGCTAATAGGCAGTTTCCTGGATTGTAGGATCATTTTAGTCGTTAGAGTCAAAATTTTCCTAAGATCCAAGGAATAAAAGAAGTCTGATGTATATTCTCTTTTCTGCTGTAACAAATTACCACAAATTTAGTGGCTTAAGACAAATTTGTTATTTTGAGGGTTGTGAGAAGTCTGCAGTCTCACTGGGTTACAACCAAGGTGTTGGCAGCGTTTCCTGTTCCATAGGTTTTGGGAAGGAACTGTTTCCTTGCCTTTTCTAATTTATGGGGGCCACTGGCATTTATTGGCTCCTGGCCTCCTTTTGCTTCTTCAAAGCCAGCAACAATAGGTTGAGGCCCTCTCACAGGGGGTTCTGTTATGTCTCATTCATTTTTGTGCTCCTTTATGATTATATTGTATCTGCCAGATAATCCACAATATTTTTTTCTAAAATTAGTTGATTAGCAATCTTAATCCTACCTGCAATTTAATTCCCCTTTGCCACAGAAGGTGACATTCACAAATTCTAGGAATTTGGATGTAGACATCTTTAGGGGCACATTATTCTGTCTACCATACCTGAAATCATCAAAGGGATGAATTGGATTCATCCTTGGCATAAGGCATTGCTAACGAAGTGTGGTAAGGTAGGAAGCATAAATATAATTCAGTGTTATTCTGAATATTTGTGTAGGAAAAGAATTTCCCTGTTTCTCACCTTCACCCTTTCTCATTACCAGCCCCATAAGTACCTATTTTAAGTTTCTTCAAAATCTCCAGAAAATAATTCTCAGATTGCTGAGTTAATTGTGGCAAGAATAAAAATTGTGGCATCACATTAGCAAGTGTTTGAAGCTAAAAATGTCTCCCATACTTTAGTGTTTCACATGATGAGCAGTAATAAATGTTTAATGAAGGAGAAATTCAGGGTATTTATGAGTGAGCAGGATTCCCTTTCCATTCCTCTCCAAGACAATTCTAATTGGACTGTTCAGTTTTTCCAGTAGGCAACTGGGGTATTTCCTGGGAGTCTCAGCACATCCGTTGGATTTGC